GGAGGTGGGACGCAGGAGAAGGTGCTTGTGTCTGCTGTCAGCGAGTTTCCCCAGAATGTCAGCTGGAAATGTCAGAGGTAAAATCTGCGGGCTCAGATGAAGTCAGGGCAGCGGAAGAACCTCGAAAGGTCGCACAAGGCAAACGGATGCTCAGTGTTTTCGTGGCAACTTTGGTTGGTTCAACCGGTGCGATTCCTGCATTTTTGTGGAGGGTGGAGGGTACGATGACTTTGCTAAATGCCGCAATAAGGCAACAGCGTCCTGGAGAGCAGTCTGTTTGTGCGCTGGAAGAAACTCGAGTTACGAAGCCTACGAAGGGGACGAAGGGTTCTGGGGATCAGGATGACTCTCCTTGACTTCAGCTTGTGCCGGTCTTTGCCATCCGTCCCACGGGGCCCTTCAAATGCCTTTGCCGCACTACATCACCATTCTCCCTTCTCTGTGCCTCAGCCATCCTCTAGCCTCTGTCCCCACATGCATCCTTCCACGAGTTGTTGAACATCATGCCGGGCGTGGTGGTGCACACCTGTGATCCCAGCACTCCTGGGGCTGAGGCAGGAGGATCCCTGCAGGTTCAAGGTCAGCCCGATCTACATAGCAAGACCCTGTGTAAAAAAAAAAAAAAGCAAAAAGTACCCATCTTTTAATGATTCTATCTACTTTCGAGGAACATAGGAACATAGGGGACATGAGAAAACACAGGCCCAACTGCAAAGGGTGAAATAATTATTGGCCAAATAATTATCGGCAAATGACAGCTTGCAAACCTCCAACCCTCTAGAGAGACAAGTCCCACACAGCCGATTTCCTTCATGTGGCCAATGGTAACATCTACATCCACTAGGAACCAGCACTCGGGAGGCTGAGGCAGGAGGATTGCTGTGAGTTCGAGACCAGCCTGGGCTACATAGTGAGTTCCAGTTCAGTCTCAACAACACAGTGAGACCGTCTCAAAAAAAAAAAAAAAAAAAGAGCCAGCCATTGAGTAGAAAAATACGATGGGGGTGATTAGACAGGGTCTTACTATGTAGCTCAGACCAGGCTTGAACTCACTTTGTGGCCTCGACTGGCTCCCTGCCTCAGCTTCCCAAGTGCTATGATTCCATGTGAGCACCACCATGCCCAGCTGAGAAATACGATTTTAAAAAAGCATACCTTACGCTGGGCACAGTGGCACCTGTCTGTACCCCAGCTACTTGAGAGGCTGAGGGAGGATTACCTTAAAACAATTAATCCCCAAAACAGCTCCCCTCAAAATAAAAATATATATATATATACTGTTGTTGTTGTTTGTTTTGCTGCTTATCCCTCCAGGAAAAATTGGTCCTAAGGACTGGAAGCTGCTGCCGGGGATGCCGGGAGATGTCCCTCAGGCTGTCAGGCACCTGGGGAGAGGCCTAGGTTTGCACCTAAGACTAGCTATTATCATTGGTTTCCCATTTTTCTCAACCATCATGGTCACACCCCTGGCAGAGTCTCAGGAACTCAAGCCTTTGTGAGCCTTCTTGCTTTATCCCCAGGTTGAGCAAATGAAGGAAAGCAATTAGGTCCACACTTTCCCAGTCTCCAGCCCCACCTCTCCGCCCACAGGGCTCAAGGCGGGGACTGGAATCCTCCCTCATTTGCATAAAGTCAAGGTTTCCTTAAGGCAAGGTGCTAGATCAGAGAGGACTGCACTGAAGTCTTCCACTGCTGAGTACCCAGGGCAAGAGCCCCTCGTAGCAAGAGTCACACTGTCTGATGTCTGTGTGTACTACACTCTGATGATTAAATAAACAAAGCAATACATGAACGGTAAATTCACAGATACACACATTTAACAATGTTTACCATTTAAATGCTGGGACTGTCATTTTAAGCATTATTTTCCTTAAGATTTAGTCCATAAACAAGGTGTGGTCATACATGCAGAAAATCTCAGTACTCTGGAAAGCTGAGGCAGGAGGATAGCAAGAATAAACCCAGCCTGGGCAATGTAGTGACTTGGCAAAACCCTATCTCAAAATAAAAAAGAAACAAGAGCTGCAGATGTGGCTCAGTGTGGAGGGCCTGGGTTCAATCCCCAGTACCACACACACACACACACACACACACACACACACACACACACACAATTAGCCCATGGAAGAGAGGATGTTGTTCCGTGCAGGTGGCCTGCATAGCATGCATGGGGCACTGCATTGAATTCCAGGACCCCAAGTCCTGAAAAAAGAAAAGAAAAAGATTTAGCCCACAGATGCCCATGTTTCATTGTTACATACCGTGTCGCACAGCAAAGGTGCCCACCTGCTATGTAGATGCCTTGGGGACCACCAAGTCAGAGCCATTTTTATAGTATCCCTGTTATCACTAATACATTATTTCATTGTTTTATTAACTAGCAGTACAGGGTCTTTGCATAGTAAAAAAAAAATATACATATATATAACAATTGCATGCTACACTGCACAATATATATATATAACTATGTAGTTGAGACTGCCCTAGAATTCACTATGTAGCCCAGGCTGGTCTCGAACTCACAGCGATCCTCCTGCCTCAGCCTCCCGAATGTTGGGATTACAGGCGTGCACCAACACACCCGGTTAACACTACACAATATTGGTGCTTATTTTATAAGTCACTCCCAGTTGTATGCCTTCTTATTTATTTATTTCAGTACGAAGGATGAAACCCAGGGCCCTGAACACTGTAGGCAGGCACTCTAGTACTGAGCTTAACCCCAGCTCTTAGGTATGTTTATTAATGTAAAACTATTAGGTGACATTAAATGTTTTGTACAGATGCTTTACAACTTACAAAATGTCACATCCTGCTAAACCCACTGTAAATTGAACATACCCTAAATTAGTAATGCATAGAACCGGGATGTAGCTCAGTGGCGCACACCAGCCTGGCAAGTGCAAGGTCCTGAGTTTGATCCCAGGTACTGGGAAAACAAACAAAAACCCACCACGGAACCTTCCTGTTGTAGTCAGGGTTTTGCAAGGGAATAGACTGAATACAGGACACATAATTTATAGGGTTATTTTATAACAGTCACCCAAAAGGTCAAATGCAGAGGAGCGCGAGAGATCTAGGCACACACTAGAGAACCAAAGAATCCATCTGAGGGCCTGGATCCCACAGCGGTGTCCTGCACAAGTCCAGCTAAAGGCTTAGAGTCCACAGCAGTGTCCTCCACGAGTCCAGCCAGTGGCCGGGAGCCCATGGCAATGTCTCCTGCTTGTCTGTATTGAGGATCTGCACCTGGAAGACCCAAAGGCCAGAGTGGAAGCCAGAAAACCTGCGCCGGTGGGGTGAAGGATCTGTGCCACCGGGCTGAGGGATCCACACTGGAGCCAGGAAGTGATGCTCACGGTAAAGATCAGAGCTCCCCTGACGAGAACAGCAGCCATTCCCAGGGACAGCGAGGCCCTGAGCTCCTCCTCCAACGAGAACAGCAAAGTTCTCATCAGGAAAACCAACCGCAGCAAGCTTCTCCTAGAAAATCAACAGCCCACGATCTTCCCCTCCAGTCTTCTTTTTATGCCATTGGCGACAATCCTCAGGTGGATTCCACGCCCATATCATGATTCAGTTCAGCTGGGTGTTCCAAGTTGCCCATTAGTTAATCAATCACACTTCTGAACATCAATGCTCAACCTAATGCATTTTAAAATGTGGTTAAGGGCGGGGGATTTAGCTCAGTGGTTCTGCCACCTGTGTTGCAAGTGTAAGGTCCCGCAGTTGGTCCCTGGTACCAAACAAAACAAAAATGTGCTTAGGCCGAGCATGGTGTTGCACACTTGTAATTCCAGCTCTTGGGAGGCTGGAGCAGGAGGATTGCTTCAAATCTGAGGCCAGTCTGGGCTACAGAGCGAGTCCCAGTCTCAAACACACACCCACACACACACACACACACACACACACACACACACAAAAGTACTGGGGTATTTACTTCAGCCTACAGTTGGACAAAATCACCTAACACAATGTTTTATAAGAAAATGTTGCACTGGGGATTTAGTTCAGTGGTTCTGCTGCCTGCCGCACAAGCAAAAGGTCCTGAGTTCAATCCCCGCTACCAAAAAAAAAAAAAAAAAAAAAAAGTTGAACATTTCATGTACACACAGATGTGCATTGTGTAGATACAATATGACATGAAAACATAAAACACAACATTCAAAAAATGCTAGCAAGACAGTTGTAGTGGCACAAGCCTGAAATCCCAACACTCTGGGAAGCTGAGGCAGGAGGATCACCCCTTTAAATCCTGCCTGGGAAATTTATTTCATTTTTTTTCCTGGTGCCAGGAATTGAACTCAGGACCTTGTGCTTGCCAGGCAGGTGTGGTGCCACTGAGCCACATCCCCAAACCCTGCCTGGGCAATTTAGTGAGACTCTGTCTCACAATAAAAAATAAAAAGGGCTGGGGATGTAGTTCAGTAGTAGTGCACCCCTGTGTTCAGTCACCAGTACCACACACACATAAACACACAAATTTAATTTTATATATGTATATATAATTTTGTTTCTTTTCATTTTGTGAGACAGGGTGTCTCTATGGAGCCCAGGCAGGCCTTGACCTCACAGAAATCCTCCTGCCTCAGCCTCCTGAGTGCTGGGATTATAGGCATGCACCACCACACAAGATTTAAAAAAAATTATTGAGCCAAACAATATGATTGATTTTGAGACAGGGTCTCACTGTGCAGTTCAGGCTGACCTTGTGCTCACCATATAGCCTAGGCTGACCTAGAATTGACGATGATCCTCCTGCCTCAGCCTCTCGGATGTGCACCACCATACCCAGTGCAACATAAGTGACTTACATGGCCGGGTGTGGTGGCACATGCCTGTAATCCCAGTAACTCGGGAGGCTGAGGCAGGAGGATTGCTGTGAGTTCAAAACCAGCCTGGGCTACATCGTGAGTTCCAGGGCAGTCTTAACTACATAGTGAGACCCTGTCTCCAAAAAACAACAACAAAAAAAATTAATAATTTACAAATGTGTGTGGTTGTCTTTGTATAAGTACAAGAGGAGGCAAAGCTAACAAACAGTCAGTATTATGGGTACACAGTATTATGGGTACCGCTGGGATCTTTCAGGGGTGGGAAATGTTCCCTTGGTTGCCTACGTGATGGATGCGTACGGAGGTAAAGGGTCATCCAATAGTGCACCTCAGATCACTGTGCTTCTCATTATTCAAGCTTGTTATAAGGAGGTGTCTATAAATGCACTGTGCGCGCTGCATTAACAAACTCCAAACCATTGCCCTCGAGTAAACACAAGGTGCATCTTCTGCGAATCCCTGGCCTCCCTTTTGTCAGCTGCGTACAGTAGATAGAGCCGATTCTCTAACGCAGAGCGAACGCCCAGCGGCACTGGGACTCCCACCTGCATGAAGCTAATCTATTTCTGCGTTACGCACCCCCCGGCGCCTTTTTATCCTCAGGAACACAAGAGAGCCCTTAAGCTTGATGCTTGGTGGACGTTTTACATAGCGCAGCTGCCTGTAGAAAAAAGCAAAGACACAAAACTCAGACTCTAAATAAACTGCAACGAGGACCTTGTTTTTTTTTTAAAATAGTACTAGGTTCCCAGGGCCTTGACACTGAGCTGTACCCCCAGCACTTTTTAAAATGTTTCATTTTGAGGCAGGGTCTCCCTAAATTGCCCAGGCTGGACTCGAACTTGTGATTCTCCTGCCTCAGCTTTGCAGAATGCTGACATCACAAGTGTGCACCACTACACCTGGCTGAATTTTTAATTCCCATCCTGTATCTGGGGCCCTTTGCGGCTAGGCTGGAATCATGCTTGTACTGAGGGCCTCGCATTTTTCACTACTCCCAGTTTGTCAGCGGTGCAAGTACAGGTTTAGGGGTTACAAACAAAATTTAATGAGTAGGTAAATTCACAAATAATGAGCATCATTGTCTAACTCAATTTTAAAAGTTTTACCGGGTGTGGTGGTGCACGCCTATTATCCCAGCACTCGGGAGGCTGAGGCAGGAGGATCGCTGTGAGTTGGAGACCAGCCTGGGCTACATAGGGAGTTCCAGGTCAGTCTCAACTACGTAGACCCTGTTTCAAAAAAATTTTTAAAAACGTTTTAAGAAAATAGGAGCTGGGCGTGGTGGTGCAGGCCTATAATCCCAGCACTTGGGAGACTGAAGCAAGAGGACTGACTGAGTTCAAGACCAACCTGGGCTACATAGTGAGTTCAAGGCCAGCCTGAACAATATAGAGAGTGTCTGTCTCGGGGAAAAAAATAAAATAAAGAAAGAAATAAGGTGACTCTGAACATTTGAAAATTTGCTTTCTAACACATTTTCCGGAATAGACTTAATTGGTTTCCCACACGGTTCGTGTTGGTCTCTCTTTCTCCGTCATTTTCTTTTTGTTCCTCTTTTTTTGATTGAGTTTATTGGTACTTTTGAAGTATGCAGTCCAGCTCTCCTTCATTTTCTCCCGGCTGAGAGAGAAGCATTGGTTGAGTGCTTCCTTTATGCCCAGACATGGCCATGTGAAATAAATAACAGACGCCCCAGAAATTAAGGGCAAATTTGGCTGGGGCCTCAGCACCTGCGGAGCACGCGTGAGATCCTGGCTTCCACCACCGCCAAAGAAGAAACAGAAAAGTCTATTCGGGGAGGGGGCTCCTGTGCACAAGTGCTCGCAGGCCTTTTCTTAATTCCTGTTGGTTTTGTTTTGTGTTTGGCCTGGATGCTGAGATCCACCCTCCTCAGGCTCCCAGAATGCTGGGATCACAGGGCTGTGTCCCCAGGCCTGGCTTCAGTTTCCTAAGTAGAAAAAGCAGGGATGCTGGGCGAAAAGATAAGATCCTAAAGGCATCAAAAGGCACGGAAAGGAAAGGAACCTGGCTTCACACCTCCTGAATGACACTGGGATTTTTCTCTCTTGTGGTGCGGGCCACGCTCTGCCACGAAGCTGAACCCCCAGCCCTCTTTTTAAACAGCAAATTTGGGGGTTTCAAAATTCGCCCATGGCCTGCTCTCACTCACAACTCAAATAACCTCCGTTTCAGTCTCAGAGCAGCTTTCAGAAGAGGCCTCAGCGAAGGGCATAGGGGCTGTCCTTTCCTGAGGCTCTGGTTACCGCTGAGAGGCTCCTGCACTCACTCCTCAGAGGGCGAGGTGGCATCGCCTGGGATTTGTCCAGGCGGGTTTGAGGGTACATTTCAGGTTTCTACACGTCCACAGGGCGTCTGGGGATCTGGGAGTGTGTGCAGTTGGTGTGTGTAGGGGAGGCATTCGGGGATGACACCTTGGTTTCCACAGGGCCCTGGGAGGCAGACGCAGCCCGCAGAGGCACCTGGGCAACTTCTCCGAGGCTCGGCACGGCCGGCCGAGAGCTCTCTGCATCTTTGTCTCCCCTCTCTCTTCTTTCTTTGCTGAGGGTGAAACCCAGGGCCTCTCACAACCTAGGTGAAAGTTCTGTCACTGTCCAGCCCTAAAGTTCGACAGCATTTTGAAAAACACTGTTTTTCCCTCAGTCCTATACTAGGGATTGAACCTGGGGCCTTGTCACTGAGCTATATTCCTAACCCTTTCAAAATTCTTTTTCTTTTCCTTTTTCACATTTTAATCAGTGTATGGCAATAAATTGGCTTACACAATTGTGGAGCTGCGAGACACATCTGAAATCTACAGGAAGGGCAGACCAGAACCCTTGGAACAGAAACTGAACTGTGGTCTCCAGAACTAATTTCCTCAATTAAAATTCTACTTTAAAAATAGCGCGGGGCTGGGGATTTAACTCAGTCATGCTGCTGCCTGCCTTGCAAGCACAAGGTCCCAAGTTCGATCCCTGGTACCAAGAAAAAAAAAAAAAGAAAAGAAAAGAAAAGAAAAGAAAAAATGTGAATTTGGGAGGGCTATTTTATTAAAAAAAAACAAACACATAAATAAAATTCTACTTTTATTTTGAGGCAGGCTAAATGGACTAGGCTGGGGTTGAATTTGCAATCTTTCTGCATCAGACTTCCAGAGTGCTGGGATTACAGCAATGTGCCACCGTGCCCAGCCTGACAAACACTTCTATTCCAGGCATGGTAGGTGGCATAGACCTATACTCCTAGCTACTTGAGAGGCTGAGGCAGGAGGATCGCTTCAAGCCCTGGTATTCAAGGCCAGTCTGGGGAGTAAAACAAAACCCTGTCCCTAAAACAAGCAAAATAAACAAAACAAAAAAAACTGACTTCTAGAGTAGGTGGACAGTTTCTTACCAGGCATAACATTTACCTTACAAACAGCCACTCCACCCTAAGTATCTATCCCCCCAAAATGATATATTGGGTTCCACAGATTTGTACTCAAATGCTTACATCAATGTTGTTCGCTGTAGTTCACAGTGAAAGCAATGAGACACCCACCAGCTGAGGAATGGATATACCAAACACAAGCTCTTTTTTTTTTTTTTGGTTTTTTGAGACAGGGTCTCACTATGTCGTTGAGACTGACCTGGAACTCACTATGTAGCCCAGGCTGGTCTCGAGCTCACAGCGATCCTCCTGCCTCAGCCTCCCGAGTGTGGGGAGTACAGGCATGCGCCACTGCGCCCGGCAAAACACAATCTCTATAGAATTGTTAAATTTCTTTTTTTTAAAATTCAATTTTAATTTATTTTCTTCACTTTTAAATTTCTGATTTTATTTTTTTAAACAGGATCTTGCTAATTGCTGAATTGCCCAGGCTGGGCTCAAACTTGTGATCCTCTTGTCTCAGCCTCCCAGACTGCTGGGATCACAGGTGTGCACCATCACAGCCAGCCCATACAGTACAATATTATCCAGCTATAAAAAGGAATAAAGTGTTAACCTACTAAAGGGGGATAAACCTTGAAAACACTATATTTAGTGAAGGAAGCCAGATGCAAATGGCCAGATTATGATATGATTCCATCTCCACAAAACGTCCAGAAGTCGCAAACCCGGAGGTAGAAAGTTAATTAGTGTTTGTCTGAGGCTGGTGGAGGAAACACAAGTTACTCGAAACAGACTCAAGGGATCATTTTAGAATGACAGAGATCAATTTAGGGATAAATGCGGTGTGGTGGTACAGATCTCCCATCCCACCTACTCAGGAGTAAAAAAAGAGCTGGGGCCAGGCATGGTGGTGCACCCCTGTGATCCCAGCACTCGGGAGGCTGAGGCAGGAGGATCGCTGTGAGTTCGAGACCAGCCTGGGCTACATAGTGAGTTCCAGGTCAGTCTCAACTACAAAGTGAGACACTGTCTCAAAAAAACCCAAACACCCCGCCCACCAAAAAAGAGCTGGGCATGTAGCTCAGTGATACCTCACTGGCCTGGCAAGCTCAAGGTCCTGAGTTCTATCCCTGGTACCACCAAAAAAAAAAAAAGCTCGGGATGTAGTTTGAGAAAAGGCCTTGGTTTCAATGGGAAAAAAGGGTAAGTCATGAAGCTCAGTGGCAGAGTGCTTACTCAGCATGTATGAGGGCCTGGGTTCAATTCTTGATACCAACAAAAAAATTATACATATATATGATTGCACAAACATTAAAAAGTACTGAAGCTGGGTCAGGGATGTAGCTCGGTGGTGCTGCCCCTGCCTGGCAAGTGTGAGGTCCTCAGTTTGATTCCCGCTACCAAAAAAAAAAAAATTTTTTTTAAGTAGTGAAGCCGAGTGAGATAGTGCATGGCTATAATCTCGGCACTCAGGAGGCTGTGGCAGTGGGACCTAGCATTCAAGAACAGTTTAGGCTACGCAGCTAGTCCACATCTCAAAAAACAAAGTATGTCACGGAATTAATACTTAATAGTGGTTAATTTTTTTTTTCTTTTTTGTTGCTGGGGATTGAAACCAGGTCCTTGTGTGCTAGGCAAGTGCTCTGCCCCTGAACTATCCCCAGCCCTTTATTTATTTAGTTTTTAACTTTGAGACAGGACCTCACTAGGATGCCCAAACTAGCCTGAATGTCTGGCTTCATTTCTGTCTAAACCAAACCGTTTTCAGCTCTGTGCAGTCCACCAGCAAGGAATGATTTATTTACATTCTCTTGGCCTCAGGTCCGCCAGAGGAAAAAGACTTCACAGGAACGCGTCAGCGGGCGGAGGGAAGGAAAGAGGGGCAGATGAGGGGTGACAGGGGCGGGGTGCTCTTCGGGAGCTGGTGGCCAGGACGGAAGGTAACAGATCGTCAGCCCCGTGGCTTCTGTGGGTGCGGAATCCTGAGCTGTGGCAGGAGTGACGGTCCCCCCACCCCAGTTACTCTGGAAACCAGGCCAAGCAGCCGCACACCGGCAGGGAGCCCCATGTTCCAGGATGGCGCCCACAGATCCTGACGCTGTGCTACACACAGAAGGGTACCCAGGCCGTCCGCGCGCTCCACGCAGGATGATTTGTTTCACACTTGGGGCTCCAAGACAACCTGGTGATGGGCGCGCAGGCACCATGGGGTAGGCGGGGGTGTTTCACCCCTCCTCTCCGTCCCCTCCCCCGCCCTCTCTTTCAGACAAGGTCTTGCTATGTAGTTCCAGCTGTTCTTGAACTCAGTGGCGATCCGCCTGCCTCAGCCTCCCAAGTGCTGGAGACGCAGGCGAGTGCCACCGTGCCTGCTTCATTTTTTTTTAAAAAAGCACGATATTTATCGGTACACTTCAGGGCTTCATTTTTACCGAAGAGTAAAATGAGATCCAACAGCCCGGACAGGACCCGGTGGGACCTGGGGGTGGGGCTGGTGTGGGCCCCCTGCACCCTCTCCATCGGGGCGCTGCCCACGGAGGGTCCTGCACGCAGAGCCCAGGGGTGTGTGCGGAACGGACGCACGCTCGCGTGAGCTGGTGAGTGCGCTCCTGGCACACAGAAGGATCGCAGGGCGCGTGTGCGGAGCGGGTGAGAAGTCTGAGCCGACGGACGGCCGGACGGACAGACGGACCAGTGGTGATGGTCGGTCTGCTTGTTCTCCACCGACTGCGGTCCTGCCGGGCAGGGGTAAGGCTCCACGTGGCTTTGAAGGACACCGGAGGTGGAAACTATAATAACCAACAAAAGCCGAGCAGAAACTCCCCAAAGGGATGGGGACAAAATAATTTTAACAGTCTCTCTCTCTCTCTGTCCTGAGGCCACACTCCTTCCTGCCCACTGCGCGGGGCATGACTCCGGGCTCACCCTGTCTCCTCTGCTCCCTGTCCTTGAGCCCAGATGCGGCAGCCCTGAGAGGCCCGCGGGAGGAGGAGAAACTCTTCCGCCCACAGGGGAGGCGGTGGCCGCGAGCCGCCCCTGGCCCCTGGGCTCCTGGCACAGCCGCCCCTGCTCCCTGCCCCTGCGCGTGTCCCTGTCTCCCTCTCCCACCCTCCTCGGAGGACGCGACCTTTAGGCTGAGCAGTGAAGCCAGACAAAGAGGGCGGGAGGAACCGAGCTCCCAGAGAGGCTGGGGCGGGGCCGAGGTGCGGCCGGGTGTGCCGGAGAGGCCTTGGGGTCCAACTCGCGCCTGCAAAGGAAAGAAAAAGAAAGCCCTGGAGCACAGGCGGCCCCGGTTGCTTCCTAGGCGGGGAAAGACTGGGAGGCCCGGGTTCGCACCTAATCTCTTTGTGCTCAATACCCAGGTCACCCTTGCGTGCACCTTCCTCCAAGGATCCAGTGATCATCTTCTCTGCCAGGAAACCTGCAGAAGCTGATCTGGGGCTGTTCGGGCCGTTTCTGAACATCCCCGCCTCCCCCCTCCTCTTTCATGCCCCCCCTTGCATCCCATCTGCCGGGTGTGAGTGGGCTCCCCTCAACTTCTGAGTGACCGTTTATTGAGCACCTACTAGATACCAGGCCCTGTGCTGGGTGCTAGGGACACTGTGGAGAGAAGCTGCGAGTGTGAGCTGGCTTCACTCTGACCTTTTTCTTTGGTCCCTGTCCTCTGCTTCCCCGGCTGTTGCTTTGTTAGGAGGGTGACAGGCTGTGGAACATCCAAGTGGCCCTTTCCCAAGGGCACTTGACCAGCTGTTAAGCAGCCACCCAGTGCCTATCCAGTCCAGACCCCGGCAGGATGATTTGGATCCAACACCTGGGTCCTTTTCCCTCTGCCAGAGCAAGGAAAGTGAGCAGGAGCCAGAAGTGGTGCTGCACGCCTGTCACCCTGCACTCCGGAGGCTGGGGGAGGCAGGGGTGCGAGTTTGAAACTTACCAAACGAATGAGACCCTGTCTCAGGATTTAAGAAAATGAGGGGCCTGAGGTTGTAGCTCAGTGTGAGGACCTGAGCGGGGTTGGGGTTTAATATCTAGTACAAAAACAAAACCACCAAAAAAAAAATCCAAACAGGAACAACAAACGAAAACTAGGCAGCACCATCCCTGAGAAGGAAGGGGCAGCCACACCCTGTCCCCCTCCTGCCTGGCAACCAGTTGCTCTGGATGTCCCAAACCCGATAGTCATTTTCTCCTCCCTGCTGAGCTTCTAAGAGGGAGCAAGCCCTGGGAACCCTGGAGGATTATTATTTGTTTATTTATTTAGATAGGGTCTCGCTTTGTCCTTTAGGCTGGCTTTGAACTCACTATGTAGCTGAGGGTGGCCTTGAACTCAAGGTGACCCTCCTGCCTCAGCCTCCAGAGTGTTGGGATTTACAGGTGTGCACCGCTGTACCTGGCCTGCCCTGGGTGCAGATTCCTCACCCTTCCTGTGCAGTGTCCACCAGCCTCCCGGGCCCCACCCTGACCCAAAGTGACAAAGACAGTGGCTGGACACCCTTTGAGAAGCCCCAGGAACAGGGGGCTTCCCCCCACTTCCTCCATTTGATGGTCCCTTCCTAGCCCTTTGAAAAAAATTAATTTTATTCTCCCTTTTTATGATTTAAAAATTTTGAGACAGGGTCTCACTAAATCGAGCTGGGCTGGGCTCTAATTTGTAAATTTCTTGCCTCAGCCTCCCAGGGTGCTGAGATCACAAGGGTGTGCCACTATGCTAATTTTGAAATACAGGACCCATTCTGAGGCGGGTGTGGTGGTGCACGCCTATAATCCCAGCACTCAGGTTGAGTCAGGAGGATCTTGGAGAGTTCAAGGCCAATCTGAAATACAGAGTGAGGCTTTGTCTCAAAAAAGAAAAGAAAGGTGTGGTGGTATAGGCCTGCAATCTCAGCACTCAGGAAGCTGAGGCAGGAGGATCTCACAAGTTCAAGGCCAATTTGGGCTATATAGTGAGTTCAGGGCCAGCCTGAACTACAAAAAAAAAGAAAAACAAAAAACAACAATTAAAAAAGGGCTGGGGATTTAGCTCAGCAGTTCAGTGGCCTGCCTTGCAAGTGCAAGAACCTGAATTCTACCAAAAAAGAAAAACTAGAGTAAGGACTGTTACCCTAGTTTAGCTGGCAAGATCAATGTTAGCACAGAGAGGTTCTAAAAGGAAGGAAAAGGGAAGCAGAAGAATCAGAATGAGGGATGCATTGAGGCTGCCAGGCCTGGTGGTGCACACCTGTAATCCCAGCACTTGGGAGGCAGAGGCAGGAGGATTGCCATGAATTTGAGGCTAACCCAGGCTAGCTGGTGAGTTCAAGGCTAGCCTGAACTGCACAGTGAAACCCTGTCTCAAAAAATAAAACAAAAAGTATGAAATGTTAGCCAGGAGCTGAGGCATATGCCTGCAATCTTAGCTATTTGGGAGGCTGAGGCAGGAGGATTTCAAGTTTGCACCTACCTTGAGTAATTTAGAAAGGCCCTGTCTCAAAATAAAATAAACAGGGGTTGGAATATGGCCCAGTGTAGTAGAGCACTTGCCTAGCATGTGCAAGGCCCTGGACTGGATCCCTTTCACTGGGGAACAAAATAGAGTGAGTTCTTACCTATATCAAAGTCCCTTCTTTCCTCCTTGACAACCTACTGGTCCTGAGCTAGTTATTTCATCTCTCTGAGCCTCAGTCTTCACATCTATGCAACAGGGAGGCTCCAGTAGTGTCCTCACATGAGGGGAATTTACATATAAGGTGCTGTGAGTGGTGCCTGGCACACGGTGCTGCTCAGCCTATACTTGTGGTTGTCAGACATTGGGACCCTTCAGTTATTTAACACAAGTATTTAGTTAGGATTTTTTTCTGACTTTGTGTGTGCTAAGCAAGTCTCCCACCACAGAGATACATTCATTCCCCAGACCTGCATTCATCAGTTGTTTGTGTTTTTTTTGTTGTATTTTAAGACAGGGTCTCACTATGTAGCCCAGGTTGGCCTCAAACTCATGGCCTTCCTCCTGCCTCAGCCTCCCAAGAGCTAGGATTACAAATGTGCCCCACCATGCCTGGCTAGTTTTTTTTTTTTTTTCCTTCAGTTATTAACAACATTTGAATTGACTTTTTTAAAGACAGGGTCTCATTTTCAGTTCAGGCTGGCCCTGAATCCATTATGTAGCTCAGGCTGCCCTTGAACTAAAGGGGCAATCATCCTGCCTCTGCCTCCGGAGTGCTGGGATTATAGGCCTGCGCCACCGTGCCAGGCTTGGGTTTGACTACCTTAAGAAAAACAAACAACAGAAACAAAGACATTTGAGGGAGGTGTGAAGGTAGATCAGAGAAGCCGGAAAAACCTGAACAACTCAAGACCTCAGCGAGAGACTAGAGCAGCCACGTAGGTCTGGAAAGTGGGGTTTAACAAACTTCAGGCACCCTGCAGTCAAGCAGGCCACAAATTCAGCTTGCAAGGTGAGTCCAGCTCCAGCACATCCTTACCTTTTGTTCCTTGATCGACAATGCCTTCCCGGCTGCGAGTAACTGGGAAGACTTTTCTGTGTTTGCTTCTCTTTGGCAAACCTAGCACTTGCCCGTGCTAGGCAAGTGCTTATCCCTACATCCCAACCCTAAGAGTAGATCCTGGAAGTAAATTGAGAGGCCGCAGTCGGAGGATGAGTGCAGATAATATTCCATTCTAGGTTGTATCTGTTTTCCCTTTGCTATCATGTGATCTCTGCCACCCACGACTTAACGGAAGGGCGGGTTCATCTGACTTCCGGTTCGGGGGATTCGGTCCATGGTCGGCGGCTCCAAGGCAGGAACCTCATGGCGGAAGGGCGTGGTTGAGAAAAGCTGCTCAGGTCAGCATAGCTGGGAAGCAGAGCAGGAGAACCGTGCCAGGAAGGAAGGGGTGAGGGACCAGATGCAGTGTCCTCGGCCGCACCTCTGTGACCCAGCCAGACGCACCCATCCGTGTGTCTCCCAAGCAGCCACGTTGACATGATGACGCTCGGGCATCACGTGGGTACAGCTAACCCATCCAACAACAGGGCACGGATGAGAGTATGAGTCCTCTCTGCCCTCACACACAGCAGGAAAGCGGCCCTGGGCCGACGAGCCGCTGGCTTCACCCCAGGTTCCTCCTTGCTACATCCCCTACCAGGCAACAGAGACAGAGACTGAGACATTCTATGTCTAGGACCAAGCTCTGGAGCTGCGAGCCGCAGTCCTCGGAGGGCTTTAGGGAGAGGAAGAAATCAGGCTGATGAGAGAAAGAATAATATCCGACTTGCAGAGAGAAACAGCCAGGAGCCTCTGGAAATGCAAACCTTGGCCAGTGCTTCCCCTTCTGGGCCCTCCTGAGGCTTTGGGTTTTGCTGAGATGCTGCGTCCTTATCGCCCACCCTCCCTCCTGCTGAGCGATGCAACCCTGCTCAGAACGTGTGGCCTTTGGTCACGGCCTCCACTGTCCTGGGTTAACAGGGAGAGGTTCAGCAAAGCCCCTGGGAGGTAGGATTCGGGTTATACCCGGTCGGCAGAGGGGGCTGCGGGGGGTGGTGCCAGGTGTCCCCGGAGGAGCGCTGAAAGCGACGTCTGGTTCTCTGCAGCTGAGGGATGAGAATATACCCACCTCCACTCCCGGAGCTGCAGCTATTCTAGGAACGCAGCTCTGGCAGCACTGAGCAGCTCCTACGAGGAGCCGGCTCTGTGGGTGTATGAAAAGAAACCCCTCTGGTGCACCCTAAAAGTGTCCTACTAGACAGTTGGACTCCAACAGTGAAGCCGTATCTGGTGTTGTGACCAGTGTGGCGGCGGATGCTCTTTCTCCACAGAATGCCAGGGAGCGAAGGGGCAGGGTTATTGTATATCAGGCCGCCGGTTTCTTAACACTGATGGATAGCTGTGCGAGTTCTGCGTAACCTCGTGTCCTTTCTCAGGGTCACAGCACCCTCAGCGATGACAGGGGCGAGATGGGGTGAATACTTGCAGGCCCTCTCGGTGACAGCCAGCGAAAGCTGTCAGTACACCTCCCCTCTCAAATCCTCCTGGGAGAACTTCCGGTGGTCGGGGGTTGGACTTCCCTTCTCTCCAGAGCAGCCCATGGCCCTCGTCACGGGATTGGCTCATGAGAAAGGCATGTGACCTGAGCTGGGCCAATCAGAGTCGGAAACTTCTTGGTCTAAGGGGGCAGAGGAACTGGGAGCCGGAAGCCCCTGGGAGCCATTGCATCTGCTACGTGGAGAGGCCATCTGTGTACAATAAAGCCAGCTCAGAGGAAAGAAAAAGAGAAGAAAAGAGGGAAGGAGAGAGTGAGGGAGAGAAGAAGAGGAGTAAAAAGGAAAGGGGAGAGAGACAGAGAGAGAGAGAGAGAGAGAGAAAGGCCGAAAGAAGCTTTTTTTTTTTTTTTTTTTTTTTTTTAGACAGGGCCTAGGTATGTGATTCAGGCTGGCCTCAAACTCACTGTGTAGCCCAGGCTGCTTTCGAACTTATGGCAATCCTCCTGCCTCAGCCTTCTCTGAGTGCTGGATAGCCTCTTATTCTTGAAGTTCCCTGTGGCTTCATCAATCAGTTATCATCAGGTTTAACTCTTAGGTCTTGGGTTTTCACTCTACTATGTTTTTGTGACTTCCAGTTTATATGATTCTAGAGAAAAAATTTAATTATAATTATAATCGTCCTAGATAAAAAGGAACGGGCTGGATTTGATCCCTGAATTGTAATTTGCTGACTCTTGATCTAATGCATCAAAAACAGACATATGCTAGGCACGGTGGCACATACCTGTAATCCCAGCACTCGGGAGGCTGAGACAAGAGGATTTCTGTGTTTGAGGTCAGACTGGGCTACACAGTGAGTTCTGTCGCGAGCCGCGACGTCAGGATCCTGCCAGCAGGTCCTAAACCTGAAAGGACGAGGACCGAGAGACGGGAGACACCTTTCTTCTCAGGTTCCTTGCCTGCTTGCTTGCTTTATTACAGAACCTCTTCCTTTTATACTCTCCAGCTGCATGGGAGCGAGGGCTGCATGGGAGCGAGGGAGCTAGGGCTGCACCGGAGCGAGGGTACCGCCCACACATTCCAGAGGGAAACAATAACAACCATTATGGGTTACATCTGCTACCAGCTGAACTCGCCCCGTGGCTATGGGCGAGAGCACATCCTTGCCAGCGAGGTGACTCAAAGTTCAATCATGGCTAGGCCTGTGTCAAGGCTTACCATGATGGCTCGCCATAGAGTTCAAGTCTAGCCTGAACCACACAAACAAAAAAGGATTTTGTTTTGTCTCCAAAACAAAACAAAAAGGATGAACATATAACTTATGTGACACCAGTGACAAGCAAACATCACTAAAGGCCCTTCCTTTGAGACAAGGCAGGGCATTGACGTTCTGTCTCCATCTGCAACCTCTCCACCCATCAGTCAGACCATTTGTTTTCCTTGATCGCTCTTTTTCCGGATGTTGTACCCATCAGAGTCAGCTCGAGCACTGTCTCTGGCAGCTCTGGCCTCTCTGTCCACTGGGTACCTGATGGCTGGCAAACGGTTAAGAGCAGCTACACACACGCACACGCGCAAATCAACCCCACAAGGGCTCTCTCTATTCCCTTTCCTGGAAACCAATTTAGCAGGTCACGCGCTCGATGCAGCTCCTACTAACAACACAGATAAGCTTAGTGAAGCACTGTGCTAAGTGCTTTGAAGTTGTTTTCTTATTTAATCTTGTTGATCACCCGCTTAGCATCTCCTCTGGACTCCCAGAAGTACAGCCAACTCCTGTACAGTGCCGCGTACCTGAGGAGGTCCAACCCCCAACCCCAGCTCTTGGGGCGGGCCCTGATTGGTTGAAATGTGAGGCTTCCATTTCTCAGCCTGTCATTGGTTCAGGCATCCAGATCTAAGCCAATCATCTTCAGGCATTCTTAAGGCATGGGGTCTCAGTGGAAGGAAAGTACAAGACTGAAATTGGACCAATTGCATTAAAAGAGAGGCATTGCCTTCCAGGATCGGGAAGGACTCGCTGTTATTCGGTGGATATAAACAGAAGGCAGGTGGACTGGATCGCCACCTCTCTTCCTCCCTTCCTTCCAGTATTAGAATTGAACCCAGGGTTTTTGCACTGAGCTACACCTGCAACCCTTTATACATTTTATTATTTTCTTTGGGGAGGGAATTGAACTCAGGACCTTACACTTGCCGGGCCATCGTGGCACCGCTCAGCTAAATCCCCGGGCCCCTATACATTTTTAAATCTTGAGATAAGGTCTCACTGAGTACAGTACCATAACTAAATTGCCCAGGCCTGGGCTGGGTCACAGTTGTTATCCTCCTGCCTCAGCCTCCCAGAGTACTGGGATCACAGGTACTGTGCATGCCATGATCAGCTTTGTTCCTTTTTTTAATGGTGCTGGAGCTACAACTCAGGGCCTCATGTAAGGTCAATCATTTCTTTCTTTTCTTGGTTTTTTGAGACAGGATCTCACTTTGTATTGCAGGCTGATCTTAAACTTACTATAGACCCCAGACTGGCCTTGAACTCCTGGCAATTTCCTGCTTCTGCCACCTCAGTGTTGGGATTACAGGCATGCACCACCATGCCTCGTTTAGGATCAGTCATTTCTGAAGGCTTTTCACTGTTAGGCTTTTCTTTCTTTCATTTCATTTTGTTTTGTTTTTTAAGACAGGGTCTCACTATGTCGTTGAGACTGACCTGGAACTCACTATGCAGCCCAGTCTGGTCTCAAACTCACAGCAATCCTCCTGCCTCAGCCTCCCGAGTGCTAGGATTACAGGCACACGCCACCATGCCCAGCTGTGTTAGGCTTCTCACTATGAGATAATGCACTTTCCTATGGTTAGAGTCTGTTCCCTACAGCCCAAAACACCTGGCCAATATATGTAGCTATTGACATCGTCTTACATTTGAAAAAAAAAGAATTCTAAGAAGTTATGCAATGTAATGAGTAAATGAGTGAGCAGGTTATTAAGTGCTAGAGCTGTGTTTTCACTTCCGTACTGGTGTGCTAATCACACTGATATGAGGATTAGCATGGAGATTCATGTTCCAGTACCCTAATTTCTGTGAGGCAACAAACAAAGCAATAGCAACAACAGTAGCTGCTGTATCTATACAATACATGTCAGGCACTGTTCAGAGTGACTCACCCACAGTAATTCTGGATTTTTTTTTTTTGAGGGAGACATTTCACTCTGTCTGTCTGGCCTTAAACTCATTTGGTAGCCTAGCCTGGCCTTGAACTTTCTTTCAGCAACCCTCCTGCCTCAGCCTCCCAAGTGCTGGCATTACAGGTGTGCACTACCATGCCCAGCTTTTTTATTTTATTGGTATGGGGGATCGAACTGGGGGGACTTTGTGCTTCTGTGGCAGGTGGCAGAACCAATGCTAAATCCCCAGCCCATTATTTTCATTTTATTTTATTCTTTTTCTTTTTGGTACAGGGGGTTGAACTCAGGTCCTTGTGCTTTCGAGGCAGGTGGTGGAACCAATGAGCTAAATCCCCAGCCCATTTTATGTTATTCTTATTTATTTATTTTTAGAGGAGGAAAATTTGTTGGGAAATAGAAATGAGGACTAGGAATAGCTCCTGAGAGACAGGAAGGGTACCATGTGGGTTGCCCATTTTATTTTATTTTCTCGGTAATGATAGGGATTGAACCCAGGGCCTTTATGCTAGGTAGGGTACTTAGCACTGAGCTACACTCCAAACCTGCCTTCACTCTTTGTTTTTTTGTTTTGCTTTTGTTTTGTGCTGGGGATCAAACTCAGGTCCTTGCACTTGCAAGGCAGGCAGCAGAGCCACTGAGTTAAATCCCCACCCTGTTTTTGTTTTTTGAAACAGTCTCACAATGCAGTTCAGGCTGGCCTTGAACTCACAGTGTAACCCAGCCTGGCTTTGAACTTGCAGGGATCCTTCTGCCTCAGCCTCGCAGAGTGCTGGGATTATAGGCGTGCTGACTGACTGACTGATCGAATGATTGGTTGAAACAAGGCCTCACTTTAAACAGTTACTGTTATCCCAACTGACAGATGAGGAAACAGGCCCAGGGGTGAAGCAACCGGTCCGGCACACAGCTAAAAAGATGCTCTTTCTTGTCCTGTCTGCTAAGTGACAAATGCATTTGAACACCAACTGCCATAGCCTCTGCGGCCCCCACAACTGGCCTAGGAGACCCCAGACACGGTGGCCATTATCTGTCCACATCGGCTTATTTCCAGGTTCAGTTTTCTCGATGGCTAACTTTTTCCAGTTTGCTTGTGTATCTGCACTGCCACCCACTTCCTTATGTTGTGACTTTAAACGGATCACATTCCTGGAACACTTGCCTCCCCTCTCTCTCCATCTAAGGCTCCTTAAACCCAGCTGGCAATAGGTTTAGGGCCTTGTTTCCTCTTGTACACCATCAGTTCAGAAGGTAAAGATGATTTGAATCCATAGCCAATGTTGAAAGGAAGCTGTCCACAGCCCAAGGCCCTGCTAAGGGCTTGACACCTACTCGTCAACGATCTCTGAGGCCAGCGCTACCCCTGCCATCTGTTCCTCAGGGAGAGGCATGGAGACAGTGAGGGATTTGCCCAGGATCACAGAGCAGAGGAAATAGAGCAGGGATTTGAACCTAGACTTTCTGATTCCTTGTGGCAGACTCCAGCCTTGCAGTTACCTGGGGAAGAAGAGAATTTCTATTGGTATTTAGACAGCTTTGAAAATATGAGTTACTCAGCACTCAGGAGGCTGAGGCAGGAAGATCACTGCAAGTCCAAGGCCAGCCTGAACTACATAGTGAGACGCCGCCTCAAAACAAACAAAATATGAGTCAGAGGCCAGTTCCCTACCGATCACTTCTGTTTGCTGAAGAGTCTAACAGAGAAGGACTTACATTTCTCAAACCTGCCTCTTCCCACCTTGACCTTTTGCACTTGCTGGTTTCCTCAATTTGAAATGCTGTTTGCAGCCTTTCCTGCCCCTGGGCCTGTGCTTAACTCTGAAGTCAACAGCCACACTGGGGCTACTGAGTCCTGGAAATGAGGTCCTGACTAAATGAAGAGGTACAGTAAGTGTCAAATGCAAATGGACTTAGCACAAACAAACAAAGAAAAAAGAAAAATCTCTCACCGATAATTTTTTTTTTTTTAATTGCAGTACCAGGGCTCTAACTCGGGACCTTGCACTTGCCAGGCAGGCATGACGCCACTGAGCTACATCCCTGGCCCCCACCAATAATGTTTATATGGTTGATAAGTTGAAATGGTGATACTTTGCACATCTTGTCCAATGTGGTCAAATCCCAGCTCCTCAGGAGGCTGAGGCAGGAGGATTGCAAGTTTAAGCCCAACGTGGGCAATTTGGCAAGACCCTGTCTCGAAATAAAGAATGCAAAGAGCTGGAGATTTAATTCAGTGATACAGTACTTGCCTAGAGTGTACAACATTCCAGGGCAGTCTCTAGGAATGAAAAGAATAGCTAATTAAGTCAAATGTATTGCTGGCATAATTTCCACTAGCTTATTCTTGCTTTGTAAATGTGGCTACTAGAATTGGGGGAGGGGGCAGTTACTAGGGATTAAACCCATGACCCTTGCACTGAGCTACCGCCTTTTCTCTTTTTTATTTTGAGACAGGGTCCTACTAAATTCCTAAGTTTCCCAGGTTGGGCTTGAACTTGCACTCTTTCTGCCTCAACCTCCTAGCACACTGGAATCACAGATGCGTACCACCACACCAGTTTAGAACATTACGTTTTGTTTTTTGAGACAGAGTCTTGCCACATAGTTTAGGCTGGCTGTGAACTCACTGTGTAGCCCAGGAAGGCCCAGCCCAGTTTAGAAAGATTTTAAATTACCTAAATGGGTTTATAGAAAAAGCAAAGTTACACCACCAGGCATGGTGACACAGGCCTGTAATCCCAGCGCTTGGCAGGCAGAAGCAGGAAGATCTCTTGAGCCTCAGATGGGGTGGGTTTTATTGTTGTTTTTTGCAGTACTAGGGATTGAGCCCAGGGCCTTTGCAGTGAGCTACATTTCCAGCAATTTATTTATTTTTTTAAATTTTGAGACAGGGTCTTGCAAAAATTGCCCAGGCCAGGAGTGAACTTGTGATCTTCCTGCCTCAGCCTCCCAGAGTGCTGAGATTACAGGACTACAACGTGCTTGGCCCAAATCCAAGAGTTTGAGGTCAAAAACCAGATGTGGTGGCGCATGCCTGCAATCCCAACATACAGGAGACTGGGGCAGGAGGATTGCTGTGAGTTTGAGGCCAGCTTGGGCCAGCCTGTAGCTATGGGCCCCATAGTGAGGCCCTGTTTAAAAAAGAAAAAGTAGAAGAAAGAAGACTTTAAGGCCAACAGTCACTTCTGCTCTGCTCCCCAGTACCCGTGGCAATCCATGCTGATTTTATTGGTTTCTATTTCTTGGGATACACCCCTTCCTTCACACAGAGGCCTTCAGAGGACAAGGACATGCTGGTGTCTATTCTGTCCCGCAACGCCACATGCACAAACAAGGCACCTGGGAAACAAGCGACTGTCCAGTGGATCAGTGTTTGTGACAACCAGATTATTTCCGGCAAAGCCAGCCTGCAGGAAATGAGGGAGGTGGACAGTGTTTTGGCCAGCAGGAAGTCAAAGTGTGAGTTTCCTAGGTGATTTACAAGCACAGGGGATGGGCTGCGGTGCCTCTAACGTCCCTTTAGTGCGGGACTGGAAGATGCTCTGGGAGAACTCACCCGGCCTTGTGCTTTTAGGGCCCTCAGACCCCTCGGGGATGTTCCCTGGTGCTAACCCACTAGGACCTAAGTGCTGCTGTCCGTTCATCTCTAGAAACGCTGTGAGCCTCCCTCCCAAGGCCTTGCGGGGCTATCACGCGTGTGGTCACAAAGGCCTCCTGACAAGCACCGGCTGTCCCAGAGCACAGAGCACAGAGCACGTGGTGTGGCACCCCAGAACCCTGGGCCCAAGTCCTGCCTCCCCCTCCTGCTATGCAATGGAGCCCTGGCAAGTTCCGGCCCTGCCTGGCCTCTAGTTCTTTGTCTGTAGAACGGGATAGAAGCTGAGTATCTCTAGCCGTGTCAGCCGTGGTCTGTGTGGGGGAGAATCACACCTGAGCTCAGCTGTGTCAGTTATTTTGAATATGCCTTTTGAATGTGACCCCACAGTCTTTTCTGCTCCCTGTGCCAGTCACAATCTGTCTTCTACCCACCCGCCGGCGACCCTGAGCGACAGGCCGGGCTCTTACTGGCTCGTTCTGGGGACACATTGCCAGCATCTCCGCTTCCAGTGAACATGTACGGGAGCCGTTCCTACACGTGCTGTGTGTGAGCCCTTAACCCTGGAGGAAGCATCCCGAGACCCAAATCATGGAGCTGAGCGAGACCAAGTCCACCGACCTCACCGACCGCCAGTGCTCGGCAACCGGGGAAGGGCTTTCTCTCTGCTGAGGTAGGATTGGATGAGTGGATTTGATTATTGGAAGGAAGTTGACCGTTTCAGGGTTCACATTTCAAGACTGAAGCGTAGAGTATACAAATGACCTTTCCTGCGGAGACAGGACATCGAGTCCATTTTGTGTTGCTACTATGAAGCCATTCCTATAAATCTAACTGATAATGACCCATGTTTGTATGTATTTGTTCCCAGTTGTGGGAGCAGGCATTAGAGGAGTTCTGTGCCTGGAATGGGGATTTTTTTTTTTTTTTTTTTTTTTTTTTGTT